CCTTTTGCTTTACTCAGAGGGCTAAGACCAGTTCATGACTGTCCTGAGTACAGTGAGTTCCTAAAAGTTTTAAAAATCATTTTGTAAGCATCCAAAACAGTAAACCTGGGCTATTATCTATTCATGGAATGGACCCAGGCCAGCAGGATATGCCACATGGGCAACACACACTCCCCTGGGCATCCGTGTGCTCAGATGCCACCCAGTCATTGGCAGGAAGCGTATTATTACACTGAATCATTTCTGGTTGTCAGACTAGGATAATAAATCGCATGTATTTTAGGACCTAGGGTCAGGGAGAGCAAGCAGAGCAGAGATTCAGAATTTGAGAGAGATAATTAAAGCAAGAACAAATGTGATTCATCAAAGATTAAATTGTCGCAGCTCTGAAGTCTTCAAAGAGAGCAAGCCTATTTGGGAATAGCTCAGAACAAAGAACAGACAGCAAGCCAGAAACAGCAAGGGCAAAGAGATGACCTAAATGAACGCGAGTGAGTGAAGGCAGCTCGGGAGAGAGACCCAAGTGGTGCTTCAGCTAAGGCAGCAATCCAGCCGACATAAGACCAACAGCAGGAACCACGGGAGCTTGGTAACTTCAGCATAAGAGACCCTGTGATGTCCAAAGTTCCTGGTGGGCAGTGGTGGCAGGGGGTGGGGTTGGGGGGGTGGCCCTGCAGTTTAAGCTGCTACCTGAGACATCAGGGTGCTATTATTTGAGCACAACTCCGAGTCCCCGTGGCTTTGCTCCCAATTCATTTCCCTGTTAATGCAACTGGGAAAGCAACGGGGAATGTGCAAGTGTTTGGGCCTCTGCCACCCACATGGGAGATGCAGACAGATTTCCAGGCTCCTGACTGGGCCAGGGCTTGCTGCCATGTGGGGAGTGGGCTGGCACTGGAAGATCTCTTTCTCTGACTCTCCCTGCAGTAAATAAAACAAGGGTGCAGCATGGTAGCCTAGTGGCTAGGGTCCTTGCTTTGCACATGTCGATCTCGTGTGTGGGCACCGGTTCACATCCTGGCTACCCCGACTTCCCATCCAGCTCCCTGCTTGTGGCCTGGGAAAGCAGTTAAGGAGACGACCTTGCACCCATTTGGGAGACCCGGAAGAGGCTCCTGGCTCCTAGCTTCAGATCGGGGCAGCTCCAACCGTTGTGACCACTGTTATAAATCAACAAATGGAAGATCTTCCTCTCTGTCTTTCCTCCTCTCTATATATCTGATTTTCCAATCAAAATAAATCTTAAAAAATAAAATAAAATACATATTTTTTTTAAAGTTCCTTGCTTGGGTTTTAGCTAATACTGTTGATAAATGCAAAAAATGGAAAAAGAGTGACACATTCAGTGCCCACTCCATTCTCCCATTCACGTCTACAACTTAAGGCCTGGGAGAAATTCCAGCAGGAAGACAGGAGAAATGCTAGCCACAAAGGTCACAGCCAAGGTCATCCCAGTGGAAAACTGCTCACTGATCCTTGATCCACTTTCTCTGCCCTGTAAGAACATCCTCCCACCCACCCCTAGTCTTCGTTCTTTGCTTCTCAAAAAATTCTTTTTGTCTTTCATCTTCCTTGCTAGGTGACTCCGGAGTCCCCTCCCGAAGGAGATCAGCGATGGGACGAACACCCCTAAGTGCAGGCCCACAGCTCTGCAAGGGCCAGTGGTTCCCATCAAAACTCACCAGCTGCCTCTCGCCCAGCAGGTGTGCCCTCTGCCGTCGCTCTGCTCCTCAGGGAACTCTTGCTGACCAAGGCTCCCGTGCCAAGAAGCACGTAACCAAACGCCTCTAGAGAACCCAACACTTTGTGATGTGGAAGGAGGATATGGCAGTGGCCTGCAGCCGCATTGAAAACAGACCCTCAAAGCAGATTGCCAAAGGACTGCAAACATCCCTCTCGCCTCTGGAACACACTGCCTTCATGCACACAACTGTCTTTTTGAAGGGTGACAGATTTCCATTCCCATCTGAACTAGAGCTCCCCAATCCAAAAGGAATGGAGTTAAGGAGGCCATGTTTCAACAGTGCCACCTCCCCCAGAAGCTCCAGATATGTTCTCTGTGCTCTGACATCTCTGGCGTGGGCTGCGCTGGGGCACTTGGCCAGTGCTCTCCATGTCACTGTCCCAAAGAAGCGCAGCATTCGTACCCAGCAGAGTTGCTCACCAGGACACTGAGAGCCGAGGAGAACGCTGTTAGAACATCAGTCTGCTGATCCTGTACAATCCTGCTCAATGGAGGCTTTCCGGGTGGGTGCCATGGCACAGCAGGTTAAACCAACAACTGCGCCACCATATGGGCACCAGTTCATGTCCCAGCTGCTCCACTTCTAATCTAGCTTCATGGGAAGGCACTGGAGGATGGGCCAAGTCTTTTGAGTCCTCTGCATGCACAGCTGAGACCCTAAAGGAACCCCTGGCTCCTGGATTCAGACAGGCCCAGCTCCCACTGTTGAAGCTATTTAAAGAGTGAACCAGTAGACAGTCTCTCTCTCTCTCTCTGTCTCTCTCTCTCCCCCTTTCTCTCTGTGTATAATTCTTCCATTCAGGTAAATAAACAACTGTCAAAACAAAAAAGCTTTGGCAGGGCGGAGGTTATAAATTCAAGTTCTGACTCAACTTTTTACCAGCTCTGACTTCAGGCTCCAGGACTCCAGGATTGAAATGTTAACATGATGTGGTGGATCACTGCAAAGAAGGGCCAGTTCACTCACCTGCCTAGTAACCAGAGGAATGCATTTCAAAAGCATGCATTAGGATTAGTTGCCTATTTCTTACCCAGGACCTACAGCAATGGCAGATAGAATTTTGCTAAACACCAGCAGAGCCTCCCCCCGACCCAGCCCCTATAGGGCAGGGGTGTGTGACAGCCAGCTGTCTGAAATGCAACCAGCAGATGGAGAGGGTCAGGTCACTTCTTGGGGTTGGATTCCTGAACCCAAGGTCTACCGATGTATCACTCTAGGCTTTGAGAAGTGTGTCCAGTATTAAAAAAGAAAAAAAAAAAAAGAGAGGTTCTTATAGTGGTAAATACCTACTATAAAAATCAAAAATAAATAAATTTCAAGAAGTGTGCCCTTCAAAGCAGTGCTGGGTACCTAGGTACATTTTCAAGTAGAACTTACTACACACAATTTGGTGTTTCATAGTAAATAAGACACTTCCTTTCCAAAATACTCAGGCATGAATTTCAAAATGCTTAGGCACCCTTCTAAATTCTCAAGTAGCTTTAAAATAAGATTTCTTTCCATGCTTGATTTACTGAATGTTTTCCAAATCTCAGCTGATGAATAAATGTTGAAATGTGTTCAAAGAGATGGGTTAGGACTCTTGGCTCCCCTACTGTAAGCTTCCCGAAGGTTCCATCTCACGTGTCACTCCATGATTCATGTACGAATTATTACATACAAGGGAAGGCGCTTGGAAAAATGTTCACAGACTAGATACAGACTAGATGCGCTAAATATTATGCATCAGTTCCAGAATATGGAGCCTGGGTTTCGCATCAAATGAACATAGATGAATAGTTGAAATGAAACTGTTCAGAACTCGGTAACTGTTGAAATCGGAGTTTTGAATTGGATTTATGACACTCTCAAATATGCTTGAAATTCTTTATAAGAAGAGGTTTTCTTAAAAAAAAATCTATGTGGAGCCTTGGAAAGTTGAAAAATAACCCAGGCGCCCCCCCCAACCCCCCATTACACACGTATATAATGCAAAGCAGTCCAGAGAGGTTCCGTGACTTCTTGCAGTCACACAGGAGCTGTAGAACCAAGAGCCAAAACTCTGAACCCTCGGCTCTGCGCTCCTTCTGGGGCCCCGCCGGGAGCATCCGGCAGAAGTGGGTCCTCCGACGGTCTCCGGGGTGTGCTCTGGAAGGGTGCTGGGCACCCCAGAGCTAGAAGCAGAGCTAGGCTGAGGCCAGATATGACCCTCTCTCCACTTAAAAACAACAAAAACAAAAACAGCAGGAGTGGGGGGAGAAGAGGGCTTCTACCTGCCTGGTCCCTCGTCGACAACTGGAGCGAGGGGTGTGGGAGAACGCGACCTGGACTGCTGAGCTGCCCCCACCCTCCACCAACCTTTCTACCTCCCCCTCTCTAACCCTAAAACATCACGGTTCTAAAAGATTCCAGAGTTTCCAAGCCTTGGGGAGAAGACTGGGTGGAGGAAGGGAGGTGTCTGGAGGGCAATTTTAGTTCCCTTCCCCCGGGGGCAGCTAGGGGCTGGAAGGGGAGACACTGCCCTGTGGGCCTGCAGAGTGCGGGGGCGGGAGGGACTTGGGGAAGATGTTCCTCTCCAGCAAATAAAATCTGCTCCAAGAATGGAGGTGGGGGAGGATCCGCCTCCTGGAGCCCCACGAGCCAGAAAAGGAAATACAAGGTGAAGGGAGAGGTCCCCCAGCCTCCCTCCCGGAGGTCAAGGTGAGCAGCTGGCACAGTTCCGGGTACCAGGGAAGTTAGTAGCAGCGCTAGAGTTGTAGGGGCCCCCACACAACTCAGAGTGGGAGAAGACTGTGATGCCCTGGGCCCGCGATCTTATTTGGGACCCTTCCGGTATCCACTCTCCAGCCCAGACCCCTTATCCAGAAGGATTAACTCATCATTTTCTTCCGCCTTGGAGCCGCAAGCTGCTCAGAGCCCTCCTGCCCTCACCTGCCCAATTCTCCCAGCAGGGTCGACTTTCCCTGAACCATAAAAGGCACAGGTGTCCTCCACTGGACAGCGCGGACCCTGGTCATTAGCGGACATCCCGCAGGAAGCTCCCAGCTCTGCAAATCCAAAACGCAGAATTCACCTGCCGCCCCCGCCCCACTGCCCCACTTCTCCCTGACTAGGCTGGTACCCCTAGCGCGGGCACACACACACACACACACACACACACACACACACACACACACACACACACACACACACACACACACCCCCACCCCGCCCCAGGACTCCGGACCCTAAGCACCAGCGCTTGCCCAGGTTAAGCTCACCATAGCGGCCGCTCGCCTCCCCGCTGGGCCTGCCCGCCCCAACTGTTCCAGATCCCGCCGCCTCCGCTGTTATGGCACTAGGCGGGAGGGGGCCGGGGACGCTCACGCTGGGCCAGCAGCTGCCCTGCAGCATCACAGTGCTCCCGGAGGGGAGGGACCTGGCAGGTCACAATGCCTGCTCCCCGCCCACCAGCGGCTCAAATCTCTCACCAGCCGCCACCCCGCCCGGCTGCTAGAAAGAAGCCTGCTGCGCCTGAACCTAAGGCTTCCTCACCGGCCTGGCGGGGGCGGCAGTCCTATTCCCAAAGTTGCCAGGTTACAGACCGGTTCTCCACCCCCGCCCCCCCAGAGGATCCAGCCAGTATAATTCTGACTGCTCCAGAATATGAAAAGCCATTTCTCCCCAATGTAGCCCAGGCAGGAGAAGCACCTGCGGACTGGTCAACCCGAATCCCAAAGAAGACAGGTGTGGCTCAAATGGTGGGACCTGCAGGTTCCAGTTTCAGCTCTGTGTCTGGGCCAGTGGTGGAGCTCTGCCCAAGAAGCCCGCTTCCACTTCCAACAAAGCCTAGGGTGGCCACTGGAGCGTTTAATGAGAGGACACCCATAGAGTCCCTGGTGTGTAGCAGGTGCTCAAATACTGTTTCCACACTAACCTGCCAGTGCACCTCACCACTCCGTCATTTTCTAATCTCTGCCATTTCGAAATTCTACTTGATGGTGGACACCTCCATCATTCTCCGGTTTGGGAGGGAGTAGGGAGAACTGCGCCTGGCCTTAGAGTCATCCGCACACCTGGTGCCATAGCAGAGGAAGGAGGGCGGGCAGAAGGGAGTGGCCACCACCCCCGCGAAGCTTGATAGCAAGTATCCAGGTAAATGGAGACTCGCAGGTGGACTGCGCCAGCCAACGAACCCTGGAAGGATTTCCTCACCCTTAGATCTGCAAGTTCAACAGCATTTCGGAACTGTGGAAGCCATCCGAGCAGAACCCTTGGGGCATGATCCACATCGGAGACCCTGGGATGACATCGGGTGGCAGTTGCCCATGCCTGGATGGTTGCGAGGCTGGATGTGGCTCCTCCACTTCTCTCCCCCTGCCCTGAGATGCTGGAGGAAGAAAAAAAAAATGGAAACAATGATCTCATCCCCTTTTCCCTAACTCTCGACCCTTCCCATCCTAATGAACTATATAAACATCATCAAAAGCAAAACTGAAAGAAAGAGAGAGCGAGCCCTCCACACATAGGGCGTTGGCCACATTGTCAAACTTCAAGCTGATTTGTGAGACAGTTCCTTGGGCTCACTGCAAAATTCCCCATGTCACAGTCAGGTTATGTTTTCTCCCCCTTTTCTCAGGCCACTCAGCACCTGCCACCAAGCCACTGTAAGCTAATTCATAGCTTTTCCCTAAGAAGCACCCAGTACTGCTTTCACCAAATATGTTGACTCTCCGATTTTCCACATGAACGTTGAGCCTCCCCTTCTCCCCTAAGAGGAGACGGCTCCTGGCCAGTGAGGAATGACCTCCTTCTGTTTGTAACAGCTTGTTCCGCTGACCACACATTCTTATGCCTACCCGTTGCGTCAGAGGACGGAACATGTGTCTGCATTGACTTTGCAGCAAACGTAACGCTTTGTCCATTGGTGTATACAGGATTGGGACTTGACCATCAAAGATCCTGAAAAGTCAAAGTCATGATGAAGTTAACTGTGCCAAGTGCATGGTAAATTCCCAGTAGAAATGATTACTGTTAGCTCTGCATTTATTTTTCTTCCAAACTCCCACGGCACATTCTGTTACTTTTTACATGACATTTACTGATCACTTTGTACTTTGGGTGGTGTGTGTCTGTGTGTGTGCACGCATGTGCATTTAGATGCTCCTAAAAACAGGGGCCAGTCAAGTGCATTGGAGGTGATCAGCAGCACTCACAATTGACTGACGTTTCAAGGTCTCTTTGTGAAAGACCCAGTACATTAGGAGCAGGTTCTTAATGTCTCCAGATAAAGATGATGATGTTATCAGTAACAACAATGTATTCCAACTGCCTTCTGTTGCCGGAGTCCAGCTCCAGCCAAGTTTGGAGCTCGAGAAGGGTGGAGTAGGCGTAGAGAGAAAAGAAATGGACCATCACGATTTCATGATCATGATGGACAAGGCAAGAGAGTTGCCCCCTTTATTTATACAGAAGCAGTCACAAGCTCTGGCACTGACTTCTTACGTCATGGTCAAGGGGGTGTTTCCAAGGATAATTCTGCCCTTTGTTTCACCGGGAAAGCAGGATGTTATCCATCCTGACCCCGTGGGCAGGAAGCTCTCCATAGACGGTGCGTATCAATCAGTAACACATTCCTGCTACAATCCTCATTCTACAGCTTAGTCTTGAATCAGTTAAGGGAGGAAACGCATCACAGAAGGAGGGACCTAAAGATCAAGGATGGTCAATGGGGGCAGCAGAGACAGGGACAGACTGGGACAGGGACAGCATGAATTGTAGAAGGTCCTTTTGTAAGACGTTAGCAGCAGCATCGACTCCCAAGCCCATATTGATGTTTACCTGCAGGAAAACAGTTCTTCACACACCTTCGTGTCCTCCACACCCACTGCACCGACCCCAACATTTCGTTATTATTTTCTTACGCCACTTTTTTTTTCTTTTTGTAAACATTTTTGGAGCTGGAGGGAACCATGACGACAATATAAATGCTAAATGTGGCATGTTTTGGTTCCAGGAATAGAAGACGACTGATGGTTCCACCCTACCAATTCAACATCACTGGACTTGGAAATAAGGCCTTTAAAGAAGATGATGAAGATGAAATGAGATCGGGCCCGGCGGCGTGGCTTAGCAGCTGAAGTCCTCTCCTTGAATGCGCCAGGATCCCATATGGTCACCGGTTCTAATCCCGGCAGCCCCGTTTCCCATCCAGCTCCCTGCTTGTGTCTGGGAAAGTTGTCGAGGATGGCCCATCTTAGGACCCTGCACCCACGTGGGAGACACAGAAGAGGCTCCTGGTTCCTGGCTTCGGATTGGCTCAGTTCCAGCTGTTGCAGCCGTTTTGGGAACGAACCAGTGGGTGGGGGATCTTTTTATCTCTCCTTCACTCTATAAATCTGACTTTCCAAATAAAATAATCAAATCTTATAAAAAAATAAAATAAAAAACATGGAGTTGGCCAGAAAGCCTTATAGTTAGAGTATCTGAGTGTAGGTTCTCGCTTTTTGAATTTAACTTTGGTTGTCTCATAGCACCTTATGTACCTTCACACAAAGATGTTTCGAAAGGGGTCATGAAAAAGTGGAATTAAAAGATGAGTTTATGAGATAATGCGTAGCATAGCGAGTAAAGCCTCTGCCTGTGGTGCTGGCATCTTGTATGGGCAGCTGGTTCCAAGTCTCAGCTGCTCCACTTTTGATACAGCTCCCTGTTTATGGTGCCTAGAAAAGCAGCAGAGGGTGGCCCAGCTTGGCCCCACGTACCCACATGGGAGACCCCAAAGCAGCTCCTGGCTACAGACCAGCCTAGCTCCTGCCATTATGGTCATTTGGAGAGTGAACCAGAGCATGGGAGATCTCTCTCTCTCTCTCTCTCTGTCTGTCTGTATTTGTGTAACTCTGCCTTTCCAATGAAGCTTTAAAATAAAATAAAAAGATGAGCTGATTTTAGTGCAACATTTTTGAAATCCATGCATCCAGAGGGTTTTCCAAACAGTTTATGGAAGGATTTAAAAATATGTCTGTCCCCAAACAAGCTTACTTTTTGGTTTCACAAACTTTTCAGAATTCTTCTGATTGGAATGTTACTATTCCAGCCTGGTCTGTGGCATGCTGCAGAGCACTGAGCCAAGGGAAGGAAGGCGTTTTGAGCATAGCAGCACAGGGAAGAGTTCCCCATCTACACGATTAGGGCAGCCATAAGCAAGAGACCACTAAGGAAAAAGTGACTACGAGGCAAAACAGGGCCACCCCATCCAGCAACACCCCTCGCAAACAAATCGGGGGGATAGTGTTATAGCATAGCGCGTAAAGCTGTCCCCTGCAACACCAGTTTCTCCTAGTGGCACCAGCTCGTGGCCCAGCTGCTCCACTTCTCCTCTGGCCCTGCACCAGCGGTCTGGAAGAAGTAGTGGAATATGACCCAAGTCCTTGGGCTCCCGCCATCCGCGTGGGGGACCAGGAATCGGCGTCTGGCTCGTGGCTTCAGCTTAGCTAGCCTAGGTCTAGCCAGTGCAGCGACGTGAGGAGCAAAACAGGGAGATTTTTTTAATAAGGCAAGATTTCTCCCTCTCTGTAACTTCTATCTTTCAACTAAATCAATAAATCTTGGAAAGCTGGGTGATTTTGTTCTTAGGAGAGATGTTCCACCTGACCCTCCCTGCTCGCATTCTGCCCAACTAGCTGATATCCCCAATGGCAACTTTCAAGTATCATTTCTGTAGCTTCAGCTTTCCATTCCTGATCAGTTCCCTCCTCCCAGGAGACAGAAGGACTGTAAACTCACATCAGTCAGTCACATACCACTCAGCAGGAGACAGTGAGACATGAGGCACTAAAGGGCCCGGCACGGTGGCACAGTGGTTAAGGTCCTCACCTTGCATGCCCGGGATCCCATATGGGTGCCGGTTCTATCCCGGCAGCCCCGCTTCCCTTCCAGCTCCCTGCCTGTGGCCTGGGAAAGCAGTCGAGGATGGCCCAAAGCTTTGGGACCCTGCACCCACGTGGGAGACCCGGAAGAGGCTCCTGGCTTCGGATTGGCATAGTATCGGCCATTGCGCTCACTTGGGGAGTGAATCATCGGACGGAAGATCTTCCTCTCTGTCGCTCCTCCTCTCTGTATATCCGCCTTTCCAATAAAAAAAAAAAAAAATGTTCTTTAAAAAAAAAGGAATCACTCGGAGCCGAAGCTAGATACAACCTAGCAAAGTGCAGAGAAAACCAAGTTAGGAGACAAAGAAAAAAAATATAGCTTGGCTCAAGCCGAGCACGGGCCAGCATCTAGGCCCTTGCCCTCCATGCCCATGAGGCTCTATTACAGATCAAGTAACCAGCTTGTCAGCTGCCAGCCCCTAGAAAAGCACCCAAGGCCTGTGTGAGATAAAGTGGCAGTGCAGGAAAGACAAGGCAGACAGGCCACTGCCTTCTCCCTGAGGTCTTGGCATGCTG